CACCAGCTTGGGCTGACCCTGCTGCTGCACCATTCTATTATATTATTTATTTTTGAAAGATTCAATGCCTGAAACTCTGATTTGGGAAACCCAGGGTTCAGATTGCGCTTCTTTAACACTGTCGTGGAAGGTTCCACTTTTCTTGAGATTCCTCCAACAGAAACCCACAGAAATTACAACAAAACTCCTCCTGTTGAGCTTAGATACAACTTTGAGAATGACATAGCTAGCGTCATGCTCAAAAGGGACAGATACTTCCTCACAGAGTCATGAGATTTCTTGGTTTTCTTGAGACATTTCCCATGTCCATCTTTTGAGTGTTATCACAAACCAGTCTGAAAGGTTAAGCTTTCACCCCAGCCAAGACAAGTCAGACAACTGAGAGGGGGAAGAGGAAGAACCCTGAGAGCTTTACAGACAAGCCTATCTCCTATATATAGCGCCCAACCAGGAAGGCTGATTTGGACCTGGGACTATTGTCTCCTAAGGTTGTAAGAAAGAAAAGACATGTAACATGCATACCTGTGTATACATAGATGCACACTATGTTATAGCTAAAAAATGTTCATCTATAATTGCTAAATGTTAACTTTGATCTGTTTCTTGTTTAAGATCTTATGTCTAACTTTGCATTTTGGATTAATAAACACTTGTACTTTTTCATTGGACTTGTTATTCTCCCAACACTTGCTTATTACAACCTTAAATTCCCGAGACACTGCAGCATTCCCTGCCACAACCTTTAGTAAGATAAAAGCAACTACTTCTCACACATACACCTTCTGTAATAGAATTAAAGCAAAATAGTTATGACTCAAATCGTAGCTACCACTGTTTATGATAGAATGACAAATTTTGCTTCTCATTTGTACTATTTGTTGAAGAGTCTGAGAGACTTAATGCACATTCATAGATCAATGTACAACTTTTAAAGCCTGTATTAACAGCCTAGTATTTCCAGTTTAATATTACAATCATGAAGGTAGACAAACCAGACATCCACACAGGACCTGGTGGACTCATCCACCAAGAACTAGCACATGAGCAGTTCGCAGTAATGAGGGCACGAAACATGTGAATTTTCCTTTTTGATTTAGGATAACTTGATTTGCATGGATTGTGCAAGTGATTTTGCCTTTTGGACCTCTGTCCTTGCCAGAGAAAGAGAACTGCTGTGTTAGTGACTAACTGAGATGATGCTCACTCTTCCAACAGGAGATGATATTGCTGTGATGTTTCTGCCAGTGGCCACTATCAAATTCTGCATATCCTGTATGCTACAGTGCAGGGACATACTCCACAAAGGAATAAGCAACACTATTCTCTAGAACAAGAGTACTTCTGTGTGGAGGTCAAAAGTGACAACAGTTCTGTAAATGAAACTGCACTAGAACAATATAAAATTATTGCATTAGAAATTGGGTAAAGTTTAACGATTGTAAAAAAAAAGAGTATTTTTGATTCAGCTATTGTGTAAACAGGACAGACACACTCCCCTAAATAACAACATTTATAGAAAAAGAACAATGAACTGCTCTAAAAAGGACTCTTCCCAGTTTGTTTCCACACTTCTTTGGCTCCTTTAATGCTTTCTCTTTTCACACACTTCCAGTAACCTTGAACGCCTTGCTGTTGCGGTACCTGTTAATAAAATTAAAGTACATTTAGCATTTACACGGAAAAGCCTCTTTATTCACAGACTGTGTAAATATAATATGCAATGCAGTGCTGCTGCTTTTATAGTTCACATGCATAATAACAAGTTCTTGGTGGCAGCACTCCTTTCCAGATTCATAAGCAGTAAGGAATATTCGGTTTAAAACATAACTTCTTTCTATACACCATCTCTACTTGTGTTTCTACAGGCGTTAACAAGATAGTTGTAGCAATCGTCTGTGGTATTGAAAAACAATGATGTCAGCTTGTTACCCTCAAGCCTCGATGAATTCGGTTCCTCAGGACTCCAAGAAACTCGCTGTGGCTGAGGCAGTCATCTCCATCGAGATCAAAAATCTTGAAGATGGTATCCAAAACATTATCTGAGAGCTCCTGTCCTGTTGCCACCTTCACTGCTCTTTTGAACTCAGCTAGTAAAGACATAATATTATATCATAGGTGACTGTGAACTCGTAAAGAAATTGGAAAGCACATATATCTCAGGGTTCTGTACGATTTACAATGTCTCGTGGGTATCCTAACTGGAGAATTTGGGATGTGTGAACTAGTAAACTATTAGAAGATTTCAGTTCATGCATTCTTGAGCTCGCTTCTTCTTTCATAACACTATCTTTATTAATTGTATGATAAAGTTTTGAAATGCACTACTTCTCAAGCAACAGTAAGAGTGATAATTTTTGCTAGAAATAGCTGCATGCGGAAGACTTATGCACTTTTGGCTGATACCTGTGCATATGGATGGTAAGCGTTTGCCTCACTATGGTCTCATAAAAAATACCATCATTTTATCTCAAACCAGTTTCACGCCAATTCATTCTGCATGAAAACTTTTCTCCTCAGAGAATAGTATTTTACGATATGCTTCACCTCAACCAACAATCCCCTCAGCAACACTGCGGAAACACAGATCCATCAAATACTCAACAGACTGCTAACAGCACATGGCTTTATATACCTGTAGTTCTGTTTTTTAAAGAAGTCGGTTACCTTCTCTTAAATTATGATTGAAGATTTATGAGGATTTATGGCAGAAAAGCTGTCATACCTCTCTGGAGATCTACCTTCCTCTTCAGCTTTTTGGCATTCTCTCTTTACACTACCATGTGCATTACAGTAATACCTACTGTCCACACTTTTGATCTTCTGGTGTAAAGCATTTGGAGTTTTGACTCAAGGAAGAGGAGGAGATGTGTGGAGTTGCCATAAAACAGGAGATAGTAAAAGTGAAATTATTATTTTTTTATTATAGCAAGCACAATCACAACATGTGAATTGGATGCATTTTTGAAGGCATCATAGAACTGTGAATTTCAGGGAGGGACTGCAGGTTATTAAAGTATAGCAGTATTGTAGATTATTACAGCAAGTTGTCCAACTAAGTCATAAATATAGTAATAACCTGATTCTGCTTTCATAAACAAGTGCTGTTTATAAATAGAGCTATAAATATGATTAGTTCTGAAGTCTACTAGAGGAAAGAGCATTCCTGACTTAGCTCTCACCTTTGCCTCTGAACAATTCCTGTGTAAATGCGGTTGATGAATTTACAGTTGGTTTAAATTTGAAAAGGACATGAAATATGGGATGCTTAAGAGTCTTAATTTTGTCTTTAAAAAGATATTAACTGTTTCAGCTCTTGAAGCTAAATATAAATCCAGAGATGGCACTGCACTTTCTTTAACAGAATATGAAGAAACAGATCTTCTAAAATGGTGGAGCACAATAATCCCCAAACCAAGAAGGGCCACCCTATCAGAAAGAAAAGATGAACTGCTAACTTAAAAGAAAAAAAAAAAAGTGTAGAATAAAAGGAAGGACTAAAGGACTGTCTTATTTTTAGATAAACATTCACGTGTGCGTGAATACAAACATGTACACACACGCAAATGGCAAGACAAAGAACTCAGTGAGACTCAGGAAAGGATTAGTCAGGTATACATGTTACAGCCGGGAGTTACCTCAGGAGCCGACTGTTTTCGATCACAGTATGGTTCAGTGCATAAACAGACTCAGAACTGCCTGCTGGTTCGGAATGAGTTTTTACAAGGAAACATTACAAGTTAGCATCAGCTGTTGGCCTCATCATCCTTTTGCACTTAAAATGGGATACTTAATAGAGAAGTGAGCTAAACTCTTGTATCTCACTTATGACTATTATTTAACCATTAATTCATCCTCTTGCCTCTCCACTCTTTGTACACATTGTGCAAATAAAATCTGTCTCCCCCGCCCAGAACAAAGATGTTGTCAAACCAGACAGAGAAGGGCCACAAACCCAGCTCTGAACTGGAGCACATGATGGAAGAAGAGAAGCCGAGGGAGCTGGGGAGAACAGAAGTGTAAGGGGGATCTTGCTGCAGCCTTCAACTGCCTAAAAGGGGTTATAGAGAAGACCACACTGTATTTTTTTGGAGGTAAGACAGAGTCATTGTGTTGCAGCAAGGGTTTAACAAAGAAAAGAAAAGTCTTCATGACGAGAGCAGTTAAGCCCTAGAACAGCCGCCCGGAGAGGCTGCAGAAATGAAACTCTTCCTGAAGCTTGGACTAACTAGTGATGAAAGTCACAAGTCGTAAACCCACCAGTTTTGGCCTTCTTTGGTTCAAACCCCACCCAAACATTTCTTTCTCAAGAATACTAAACACGCTTCCTGTCTTCTCACATCTCTCTCACCTTTTTCACATGAGCCTATCAAATATTTATTTCAATGAATGTTAATGTCTCATCGAATTTCCTTAGGAACTTAGGAATGCTAATTTCAAATAACTTATGAGCGCTGTCCTTCAAGTATAACAAATAAGTAACAACCTCAGGATTATAACAAAAGAGCATTTGTACATCCATGAAACTTTTTTTGCATTGCTCCTATTGCTACTATCTGGGAAGGAAACAGCTTCCCTCCTCCAAATCTTTATTTTAAAAACCACTTTACTACACTGTTTTTCATAGCCCTGATTGCATAACGCTACATAAGCACATGGAGAAGGCAGTACAGAGGAATAAATAAAACACTGCAAGATGTTACAACCCTGCAAAAGAGATTTCTATTGTTTAGTTTCCTCAGAAAAATAGTTTCATTATGAGGAAAAAGGTTTGTTATCATGAACTGCTACTAAAGCATGTATTGTTTCCAGCTCTGGAGCTCCCAGCACAAGACAGACATGGACGTGCTCAAGCAGGTCCAGAGGAGGGCCACAAAGATCATCAGGGGGCTGGAGCACCTCCGCTGTGAGGACAGGCTGAGAGTTGGGGTTGTTCAGCCTGGAGAAGAGAAGGCTCCAGGGAGACCTTGTAGCGGCCTTCCAGTACTTAAAGGGGGTCTACAGGAAAGGTGGGGAGGGACTCTTGATCAGGGAGTGCAGAGACAGGACAAGGAGTAACAGTTTCAAACTGAAAGAGGGAAGATTTAGATTAGATATAAGGAAGAAGTTCTTCACTGTGAGGGTGGTGAGACACTGGCATGGGTTGCCCAGAAAGGCTGTGGCTGCCCCCTCCCTGGCAGTGGTCAAGGCCAGGCTGGATGGGGCTTGGAGCAACCTGCTCTAGTGGAAGGTGTCCCCTGCCATGGCAGGGGGTTGGAACTAGATAATCTTTAAAGATCCCTTCCAACCCAAACCATTCTGTCATTCTAGGGTTTAGCCTTCTCTGAGCGGTCCAGCATATGATAAAGCAATAGAAATTACAAATCAAAACATTTTGGGAACTTTATATTATTATTTTTCATGAAATAGAATTAATTCAGAATAAAGAGCAGTATATTATTTTTGGACTTCACAGTGCTACTTTGGGATAACTTATTTACATTAATTCCACAATAAAAATGCATTTTTTTCTTTAAAAAAACCCCACATACGAAAGGTGCGCAGCACTTACCCCGTTTAACAGGAAGATTGGCTACAGTAAACATCTGCATGGCAATAGAAAAGTCTTCCAGATTATTTGTAAACTTGCAAAAAGTCTTGAATTCTTCCAAACTGATATTCTAGAGTATCACAGAATTCAGATGATAAGTAATTAATACAGTCAAACCCTAGTAAATCTATTTCATTAAATCCGGTGGGACCTAATGTTTAGGTGTGACTGCCTACTCATCATCAGTATTTCTCAGTTGGCAAATTATCATTGTTCTCATTTGCATAAAATTCAAGGGCTGCAATAATTCACTTGGAAACTAGTTATATTATTAGATACTCATTTTCAAATGAAAACCTGTACATACAAAAGGAAGCAAAACAAAGCATGCTTTATGTACCAACCTCTCCAGCTTCAATTCTCTCTTTCACATTCTGCCAGTAAATTTCATTGTTTTCCTCATCAGTGAAGTACAGTAACCATTCTGCAAAGTCTTCTTTTCTCATGACACTCAAACCCTTTGAAAACTTTATGAATTCCATTTCTTGGACTTCTGTCTGCAGATTTTCCATGAATCTATGTGTAAACAGACATTATCCAACAATTGATGCTTGCATTACTACTGTATCACTACTGCTACCTTAGCTACTAAATGCAGCAGACACTAACTCTTAATCACAGGTACTATTGACATCATTGTTTAAAATGTCACTGGTTTGATTTTACCTGTGCATGCAGATTTGCTTCCACGGCTGCATTTCAATAACGACACCAGCAGGGTGCTCTCTAAGTCTGCACAGATGGCTGCTACTAAGATAATTCACAGATACACTTGGCATCTAGTTTTTACTAATGTTTAAAAATGTGCAGATAATGAGATAAAATAATCGAGAAGCCAGTATTATAATGAATGAATGAAAAAGGACATGGTAACTAAAGGCCTGACACATGATTGATGAAATTTCATTTTAATAAAAGAGTAATGACAAGGTTGGAAAGTGCCTAGAAAGATGAGGCCCTAATAATCACAAAGGTGAAAGAAAAGAGGAAACTTGAAATCATCATTGCAGGAAAAGATGGCTAAAAGCCTCAAAGATTATAACTGCAAAGAGAGGTTTGGTAAATCAGTTCTGCGTTCACTAGAGGATGGATTAGAGAGGATTACTACTGACATGTACAGAGTTTTGAAAAGCGCAGAAGATGTTGTTGCAGGTGTTTGGGAAGGCAAGAATAGAGTTGTCTGAAAAAGGAAGGGGTGAACATCATGGGTTTTAGGAGGGACCAATTCTTTCAGGAAGAAAAAATAAAGTAGCACAAGAAGCAAGTAACAGCCTGCAGGTACAGAGCTAGAACTGTAAGGAGAATTGTAGCTTTGAATTTCCCCGGTTTGGTCTATGTGGCCATTATAGTTTCTTCTAGGCAATACTAATTTTGAGAAAGTAAAAGACAATACTGTGCAATCCATTTGGTAATTTCCACTTCAGAAATGGGGCAATCTAAACACAACTGATAATTTTAAAACATAAATAAAGGCTAAAAACATAGTGATGCTTGACAGAATCCCCTTAGTATTTTGAAAGAACCCTGCTTTATTGAGTTGCAAAAAATACTGACAGGAGAGAATGAAATATTGCTATATTGGGACAAAGCAATTAGTTTGAGAATAGGACAGCTAAGGGTCTATGTAGCAAATACCAGTAGAGGCTCATTTGCTCATCAGTGTTTGCATGGCCTCACTGGGTTTGAATTCTTTCCCCTGAAATTACGGCATTTTAGTCCACACAGCTATCTTTAGCTCTTTAATGAGATCACTTGGACTATTAGTAGCTTGAAGCTCTGTGAAGTCTATAAGGGGTTAGCTGAAGACTGCTGTTGCAGCATAAGCTTTCTCTTCTATTTTTTCCTCTAATAATTAGAGCTCCACATGCAAATAAAGGGCCAACACATACTTCATGGCTCAGGACATGCAGGTAAATGAAAGCTTGACAGAGGACGTGATTTTAAGTTTCAGGTTAGGGTTTTATTAGGGTAATATTGAGGAGTGGTACAATATGCTCTCACATTTTATACAGCCATTTTTCTGGTCCAGTAAAGGCGGATACAAAGCTTCCACAGTATAGTAAAACACTGAGGTATATTCCTCCACAGTCCACCTTAAGACCTGGCTCACTTTCAAGTCCCCTGACCCTTCCTCTCACAAGGGGATGAAACACCAAAGGACCTGTTTGTGCCACCAGTGTGAAGGGGAGGCCCCTTGTCTTACAGACCAGTGAGAGCTTACTTGCACAGCTTCCAAACCACTCTTCAGTTTTCACAGAATCATTAGGTTGGAAAAGACCTCTAAGATCAGCAAGTCCAACCATGCTTGACCACCCTTTCAGTAAAGAAATTTTCCCTAATATCAGATTTTCAGATGCAGCTTCTGTCCTTGTAACTCATGAGGTAATTGCTGCCACTGGCCAGCCCAGCATCAGCATGTGCCGGGGAGACTGGCCAGCGTGTGCTGCCAGAAACAGTCCTGCTGCATCACCCGCAAGGGTCTCCCTGGATCCTGGGAAGGGAGGTCGAGCTGCAGGGAGACAGGACGGCACGGACCAGGCATGTAGACCAGGTATGGAGTCAGTCTAGCAGACACTGACAAGGGCCACTTGGTTGCATTTTGGGAGGGGCCACCAAAAGCAAGGAGTAGATGGTATCTGTGATATGTGGCTTGTACTTGGCTGGAAGTCACAGAAGAGACCATGCGGAACAGTAACTGCATCTTTGACTGTCGTTTCCAACCCATGTAAAGTCTGGTCTGGGGGAGGAGAAGCTGCTGAAAATGAGGTCATTTACAGAAATATGCCTAAAACACGGATGCAGGGAAATCAGAAACCATGTGTTTTATTTTCTTGGCTTTTAATCTACGAAAGGTGGACACATTTTTCAACAGACTTAAGATCTGTTATTGAAAGTATGAGTTGGGGAGCTAACTCTCAGTCATTTGCTTTAGTGGTCAGTAGCCACGGGTGATGACAAACTACATAGTCATAGAATCATAGAACAGTTTGGGTTGGAAGGGACCTCAAAGATCATCTAGTTCCAACCCCCCTGCCATGGGCGGGGACACCTCCAACTAGACCAAGTTGCTCAAGACTCCATCCAGCCTGGTCTTGAACACTGCCAGGGATGGAGCATCCACAACTTCCTCAGGCAACTTGTGCCAGTGTTCACCACCCTCAGGGTGAAAGTGACCTGCCCTCTAGCCATGCCCAATAAAGGCAGGACAGCTGAAAGACCAAGCATTTCTACATGCTGAGGAAGGAGTGGGCAGCCCACTTGGCCACACACATCAGCCAGCTACAAGGTGCAGCAAAGTCAAAGAGCAAAGTGAAGAGTTTGGCTGTGGCATTTTGGATGTGTTCTTGCCTCTGCACCCTCTTCTAGTTGGGCAGCAAATGAAGTGTTGTATTTCCCCAGCCCCACTGTGGGTTTTCCACTGCCTTGTCTCAGGCTTGGGGTCTTGCCCTCTCCAGTTGCTTCGGGGCAACAACACTGCATCTCTCCTGTGGCACAAGAGTTGTGCATCTTGCTGCACTACACAGATTAGGGAGGGGAGTGGGAATTAACTTATTTAGGTACAAAAAAATTAATGGAGATTTCATTTCAACTTGTAGGCTTGCTACTGGCAAACCAGAGTGGGAAGATTTCCTGCTGTACAAATGCTGCTTGGAGCAGCAGCTGAAATGTGCAATTTAAAATTTATATGTGATAGTCTCCCATATTACAAAAATTAAAATACTATGAATCATCGCATCAGCATTCTAGGTCACTCTTATTCCCAGATGTGAGAGTTAAAAATCCTAATGAGGTTTTTTTTAAGTGAAAGTTATTAAAAGTTATTAAAAATAACTTTCTGGTTAGGAAGTAAAACTTGATACTTAAATGTCAAGACACCACTAGGGATACTTGCTTTTGCATCTTCTGGATGACAATGCGGTGAGCTGGAAATTCCTTAAAAATTTCTCCAGATATTAGGAAAAACAAGTATAGGAATGAAATTCCTGCTCTCCCAAAGTCAACAGGAGCTTGGCTGGGGACTTTGAAGGGAGCCAGAATTCAACTACGGGAATGGGATTCTGATTGTAGATGTGCTCTACAATTAAAAAATAATTACACTGGGAATGCTCTTATGCTATAGCAGCTTAAAAATAAAAGCAAGCCCGAAGTTTCCAAATAACAAAAAGGAAAGGTACATCATAAATTTGTAAGATGAGGAAAAGGCTGGGAATACACAGTACTTTCTTTAAGCTAGCTTGTTTTATCCACACTCTCTAAAACACCCACGTTGAAGGCCAATGGCCAAATTTGTTATCATGTTACAACAGCATCCAGAAACCTTATCAGGACTTACCCCTCATTTTGTAGTGTGCTCTACTATAGAAAAAGGGAGTCTCTGAAGACTTTTTGGCAACTCAGCTTTAATAGAAGTGAAAATACAATAAAAGTGGAAAGGCCTCAGGAATGCAGCTATTCCCCCTCCAACCTGAGATGTTGCAATGAAGGGCTAGCGTTATATTTAGCACACGTAGTAGTAGAATGAAACACAAAAGGAAAGGTTAGGGAAAGTTTTCCTTCCTATACCTCTTGACCTGAACTGAAAGTCTGTGGAGAGCTTTAACATTCTAATACAGAACCGACCAGTTCTTGTTGCACTGATTTATAGGAAAAAAACTTAACAACAAAGACAGTGGTGGATATACCACCCCAGCATCTGTACTGTGCTTTGGCTCCTCTTTGGACACTGAAGTCCTTTTGAAGACTTGATAACCCTCTCTGCATCAAAAGACTGTTGCAAACCAGCTGTAAGGTTGCCTTTTGGCAATCTGACTTTCAAAGCAGAGTATCAGAAACTCTAATAAGAGTCTGCCATTAACCTTTAGAGAACATTTAGATCTGTGCTTGTAAATTCAGTTTTGCAAGTGGTAAGACAGTTAATCAATCTCATGATTTTCAGAATTACAGGCAAAACCCTCTTTGATCTACTGTTCTCAATGTTTCCAAACCAGACAAAAGTACCCACTTTCATTTATAAGCATTCTGTAGAAACTAATCAAGCTATTCCTTTGCTAAGTATATAGGAAAGGAAGAAACAGAGATTCTTCTCAATATCATTACTAAATATTTGGGAAACATTCAGATTCAGTTATGATAGGAATATACAATTGTGAAGCCAGATTTCGTTCCCATCTCCACTTCCTCACTGTCTGATTCTGGTTGCACTAGATGTAATCTCTATGTGTATTAGGTCTTTTCCAACCTGAATGATTTTATAATTCTATTAGGGCTCCATATACATACACACATACAGATACAAGTAGAGGTACAGAGACAAATAAGGAGGCAATCATATTCTATTTCTGCAAAGCACTTCCAAATCCCTAGATGAAAATCACTGTAAACATACAAGCTAACATCACAGCAAAAGCACTACTGGCAGATGATTCTGCGTCCAGGCATCGGCACAAAAACAGAACAGCACCAGATAAATGTCAGCACTGGCAGCGTGGTTCAGCCTGGATCATTCTGGTCTCTTA